CCCCACCTATGGCACATATTCCATGCCCCACATATATTTCCCTCTTCAGGGACATGTTCTCACTTGGAGGAAGGAGAGACTTTCCGAGCTGATGGCTCGTGTCAGGAGCCATGGGATGAGCTCCTGCCATCCAGCGAGCACACACTTCTCCCCTGCCTGGGGTCTGTGACAGCCTCAAACATCACTGGATGGGACCAAACCAGTGATGGGACCTGCCTGGATGAAGAGGGTGAAGGTCTGTGAGAAGAGTACAACTCACACCTGAGCCCAGATCCATAGGGGTTCTCCCTCTCCATGGTTCCACTGGCAGGGGTGAACCCAGCCACACCGTGGGTCAGGGGTTTGGAGGTGACACCAGGGAAGGGAGGGAGGAACCTGGGCACGAGGAGATGCTTTCCTGGTGGATGTCCCACCAAGAGCTGGGGACAAAGGGAGCAGAGGGAGCTGAGGCAGTTGGCAGAGGTGGCCCCCAGGCCAAGCTAATCGGAGAGAAACCGTGACGTAAGGCCAGGGGGAAGCAGGGTCACAGCCTTTCCCAGGCTCCACCGTGCTCCACGCTCCGCTTCCCTGCCAGTTTATCAGCCGCTGGAACGCGACCAAGGGAACATCGGCCAGGACAGAACAAACAAACATCCGAGTTTGGGCTTCCTTCCTTCCTTCGAATAACCAAAAAAAAAAAAAAAAAAAGAAAGAGAGAGAAATGGGGAATCAAATTAAATTAAAAATGACTGAAACAAGTCAGATAAGTAAGCATTTGTGTTTCCATGGGGACGTGATGCATTCCTCGGAGTGGGAGCCTGGCCTCAGGGAGAACTAACGCCGGAGCAGCAAATGATGCCACGAGTGGCCCCGCAGGCAGCCCACGGCTGTGCCCGAGGGACCAGCACTTGTCCCTTGGCTCTGATAGCCCTTGGATCTCTAGAAAATCTCCCTGGACTCCCACATCCCCAACACACAGCCACCAGGAACTTCCAGCCTGTTCGGAGGGCCTGGTTGGAGAGGTTGTTTCCCTCTTTCTGTTTCATCCCAACAGCCTTGCAGCAGTTGGACGGGGCCTGGAGCAACCCGGTCGAGTGGGAGGTGTCCCTGCCCCTGGTGGATGGGTGGAACTGGGTGGGCTTTAAGGTCCCTCCCAACCCAATCCATCCTAGAATTCTCTGTGCCTGACCAGTTTAACCTAGGGCTAGGTGAGGACCAGACAGCTGGAGCTCTGGTCCATGGACCCTCCTCTCCTCGAGCTTTCTAGAAGATCTTTCTGATTTTCCTTGGATCTTGCTGTGCTGTGTCATCCACGATGGGTTTTGCTGGGTTACATCATTCATGTTGGGTTGGGTTGTGTCACTCTCGTTGGGTTGGGTCATTTATGCTGAGTTGGGTTATGTTGGGTCATTCTTGTTGGATTGGGTTGGGTCATTCCTGTTGGGTTGGGTCGAGGTGGGTCATTCATGCTACCTAGGGTCATTCATATAGGGTTGAGGTGGGTCATGTTGGGTTGGGTTAGGTCAAGGTGGGCCATTAATGTTCCATTGGATCATTTGTGTTGGGTTGTGTTGAGGTGGGTCTTTTGTGTCAGGTTGGGTCAGTTGGGTTGTGCCATTCATGTCAGGTTATGTTGAGGTGGGTCAGTTGTGTTGGGTTGTGTTGAGGTGGGTCTTTTGTGCCAGGTTGGGTTGGGTTGGGTCAGTTGGGTTGTGCCATTCGTGTCAGGTTATGTTGAGGTGGGTCAGTTGTGCTGGGTTGAGGTGGGTTGGGTCATTTGTGTTGGGTTAGGCTGAGGTGGGTCATTCGTGTTGGGTTCTATTGGATCATTTGGGTTGGGTTCCTTTGGATCATTCATGTTGGGTTGGGTTGGCACGGGTCATTTATGAAACAGTACCAACACCCACAGTGACACTTTCCAGAACTTTTGTCCTACAAACCACTTCCAGGAACATCCCCTTGGCTCAGCCGCCCTTGGTTTCTGCTGCTCTCATGGAAATAGGTGCAAGATTTCCTGGAAAATGTGAATTCCCTGTCCTGCCCCTGTCCAGGAAGATCCCCCACGTGCAGAGAGAAACCTGTGTATGCTCTGCACGTCACCCAAAGCACTGCATGACATCAGCACCGACACCACCAGCTCCCAGAAATCCCGAGGGCAGGGAAGGGGGGCAGATTTCTTGCATGACCCAATGGAGGATGCCCATGCAGGATCCAGAGTCCCTTTCCTCCACGTGGGGCAATGGGAGCCTCATGGAGTGGGAGCCACTGGCAGGGACTGGCAGGGCCTTTCCCAGGCAGAGGGCTAATTCCAAATCCCTTGGACCGGATGCAGGATCTCGTCACCAGCACCCGCTGGAGAAGGGAAGAGCATTGTGTGGGCTGTTGCTTTTTTTAAAGCTGTCTGTGACCCCGGGAGTAGCGTGCAAGTGAGGAAGGAGGGGAGAAGGGGGAGGGCAGAAAATTCCCAGATCCCAACTCTCCCTGGGAAATCCCCAGAAAGCTCCCAAGCACTTTCTTTCCCAGCACGTGACTTCCTACGTGCTGAGGCCAAGCAGCAGGTGCATCTCCAGGTCGACGGGCAGCTGGGGGGGATGTCAGCCCCTCTGAGGGGGCGTGGTGGTGCCTGTCCCCATCCCACAGGACCCTGCGGGGCACAGGAGGGATCACAAACCCCGGTGAGCTCTGGAGAGCGCGCTCCACACCCCGAGGAGAAACAACCCCGTGAGCATGAACCACGGGACATCCCAATGCGGCTGCACTGCCCACCCCAAACGCAGCCAGTGGGACGCCACGGGAGGGGGATATCCCCTCCCCAGAGCCCCCCAGTTCCCCCCAGACCTCCGAGAGCAGCCCTGCAGCTGAGTCACTATTTAGTCGCCTTTACTGGCAGCCGTTGCTCCCGTCGGGAACACGCCTGGATCCCGCAGGCACCCGGCGGGCTGAGGGGCTGTGCCAGGGACACGGTGGGAGAGGGGATAGGGCTCTCTGCCAGGAAGGACCAAGGGACAGGCGACAGCCCGAGCACGAGGACCACGGGGCCCGTCACCGCATCCGCTGCCTCCTCCGGGGATCCGGCACCGGGGCGCGATCGCACCCCGGGAAGGGCCCGCGATAAATTCTCATGGAGGCCGGGATGCCTCTGCCGTGAGCTCACCCAGTGACTAACTTGTTTATCTCCCGCGGGAGCTGCACCGAGGTTTTTGGGAAGCGGCAGATCCCCGACAGCTCCTCTGCCTGTTCCAGGCGCCGCCTCCCACCCCTTTCCTGAAAAACGCTGTCGGAAACGAGGAATCCGCGGTGGCACCACTGCGTCCCCTCGCTGCGAGGGCAACGCAGGGAGCGGCTCCTCTGCCTCCTGCCAGAGCCACACACCCGGGAGTGCCACGGCAGGGAAACTGGAAAGGCTCAAAACATCTGGATTTTGGAAAACCGGGCGTGGAAATTCCGGCACAGCACTGGGGAGAAGCTCCGCGTGCTTCTCTGGGCTGGTTTGACTGCGCAGGTACCGGGGAGGCACCGCTAAGACCTTATCCTGCCCCATTCCCAACCCCGGGAGACACCACTGAGACCTCATCCTGCCCCATTCCCAATCCAGGGAGACATCGCTGAGACTTCATCCTGCCTCATTCCCAACCTGGCGAGGCACCATCACGTTTAAGCACAGAGGAAGATGTCCCTGGAAGTGTCCAAGGCCAGGTTGGACACGGCTTGGAGCAACCCGATTGAGTGGAGGGTGTCCCTGCCCGTGGCGGGGGAGTGGAATTGGGTGGGCTTTAAGGTCCCTCCCAACCCAATCCATCCTGGAATTCTCTGTGTCTGACCAGTGTAACCTAATCCTCAGATAACCACACGCCAGGGCTCCAGTGCCACCACGTGTCATCCATTCTCGGGGAGTCCCCAGTGCCTCCTGCCGCTCCCACTTTCGGGTCTGGGGCTCCTTCTGATCCACCAGCTCGGTCCCACGCCCCTGCCCCTGTGGATGCTTCGTGCTGGAGAACAACCTGGAGCACCGGGGATTGGGACCCGGCGGGGTCCTGCCCGGGATGCGGGGCTGGGATCGTGTCCCGGGGGGAGCGGTGGGAGGGGGATCCGAGGGGTTGCAGCCCCACCGCCGGGCCGAGGCGGCCCTCCAGCGGGGCCCCGCTGCCTTCCCCGCGTACGAGCCGCTGCTCCGGTGCGTTTTGATGGAAATCAGCGTTTTATAACCCAAAAGGTGGTGTCTGTATCTCGCCCCCACCCCTTCCTCCTCCCCCTACCCGCCACCTGCAGCGAGGCAGGACAGGGACAGGGAAAGGGAAAAGGGACAGGGACAGGGACAGGGACGGGGGAAGAGAGAGGGACAGGGAAAGAGACAGGGACGGGGAAAGGGGCAAGGCAGGGGGACGGGAAGGGATGGGGGACAGGACAGGGGCAGGGATGGAACAGGGACAGGGATAAGATAGGGACCAGGGCAGGACAGGGACAGGAAGGGGGACAGGCCCAGGGACGGGGACAGGCACAGGGGCAGGGATGGGACAAGACAGGACAGGGGAACGGACAGGGATGGGATAGGACAGGACAGGACAGGGACAGGACCGGGACCAGGACGGGGCAGCGCCGCTCCCCGTCTCGCTCCGCACCGACCCGCCCGGCCGCCAGGGGGCAGTGCCTCTCTGCGCCCTACCCCATGCCCCCAGCCTGTCACCGCTCTCGCCGACCCCACGCTGTCGGGACGCGCACGTCTCTATGGTGCCGGTGCGCGGCTCTCTATCCGCCCCCCCCTCCCCGCTCTCTATGGCGCGGGCGGTGCTCTGGCCCGCGGCTCCCGGTACCGTGGCGGCCCCGTTCAGCCCCGCTCAGCCCCACTCGGCCCCGCTCGGCCCCGCTCAGCGCCGCTGCCGTCCTGCTGCCGTCCCCGGCCCGCCCCGGCTGTATGGTTTGCGGGCGCTCTGCCCCGCGCATCTCTATGGCGGCGGCGGCGGCCCCGCCCCGGGGCGGCCTGGGGCGGCCCCGGCCCTGCTCCCGGCCCGGCCCCGCCGCCGCCCGCGGGCTCTGGGGCCCGGCAGCGCCGCTCCGAGCACCGGGGCCGGGCCCGGGGAGCCGCCCAGGTGGGTCGGGGGGGCGGCGGGCCCGCCCCGGGGCCTGTCCTGCCCTCTGGGGCTCGGGGGGCTGCGCTCGGGTGCCCTTAGCGGAGAGACGCGTTCGTAACGTGGCTTTTCCCTTGTTTTTGTCCCCCTCCAAAGGGTTCCCGAGACGCCGGTTCCCTCGATGTGTGAGAGCTTCCGAGCGGCGCGTTCGGCCTGCTGGGAGCAGGGAGCAGCAGCAGCAGCAGGAGGAGGAGGAGGAAGGAGCAGGGAAGAGCCGGGAGCAGCAGCGGAGACCCTCGGGAATTCCATCCGTTCTGCATCCCAAGCCTCGCTCCATCACCCCCCAGCTCAGCCCCGCGCCCGCAGAGCCCCAGGTGACACAGCCCCGGGGTTCGCACAGCGATCGAGACAGATCCTGTGTCTTTTCCCTCTATTTTTTTTCCCTCTTTCCCTGGAAAAAATACCCCTCCCTGCCCGGGAGAGCTGCCTGGCCCCTCTGTGCCCGGGCAGGACCCAGGGCACATGCATGAAGTGATTTAGAAATAGGAATTTATTCCAGTAACTCTCCCCTTGGGGGTTCTACCATGAGGGCTGGTTACTTTGCTGGGAAAAAAAAAAAAAAAGGGAATTAGAGCTTGTTTCTGTTAATCTGTGCTGCCTGGAAGGACTTTGCTCGGGATAGATGCAAACAGGAGGGCTGGAATAAGGTTCTTGGAATGGGGCCTGGAGTCAGGTGGTCGGTGTGAAATGGGGTGAGCAGATCATTCCCTTTACTTCCAGGAAAATGAAGTAGCTGTGACGCTGGCAGTGCCTGGGATGTCTTTATTAGCTCCTTAATTTCATTGAAATCCCACGTGGGGAAGGGCTGGAAGGGGAATCTGGTTCCTGACAGCTGAGATCTGATGGAGTTGTCTGGGGGGGAGGCAGGAGCTCAGCAGGGAACAGCCAGTCTGCCTTTTGTCTCTGTGGTAATTAATTGTAATTAACTGGGTCAGCTGGGGCTGTTAAACTCTGCCTGTGTCCTGTCCAAGAGGTGCTGCCATCCTGGGGGGTCTGGTTTGTCCCCTGGGCTTGTGCTCTCTGCCCCTCTGGCCCTGGCACAGCCCTCAAGGCAGCTCAGCCTTTGCAGAATTCCTCTTTTCCTCGGTGTTCCCTCCACTGCAGGGAGAACTGGCAGGTTGAAGGAGCCCTTTGGAGCCAGGAGACAGCAGGACATGAGATTTGCAGACAAGTGTTTCTCAGGCTGCTCGAAAACCAATTTCTTTTCTCTTTCCCTCTCTCTTTGAGGCTGTTGTGCCACTGACATTTCCCAGTTTATTATGGATCAGAAACCTTGGCTCTAGCCAGGTGCTTCCAGAAGTGAGAAAGGCTGTGTGAGTGTAAGCAGATGGATGTTTGAAATGTTTTTCATGCAAAACTCGTCATTTTTTTTCAGAGGAGCTGGACAAACAGGCTGGATGTGCTGGAGCAGGTCTGGGCACAGCAGAGCAGGGAGGGCAGTGGGTCACCTTGTGCCCAGGGGGGTTTGGCTAAAAGCTGGTGAAAACCCCAATATTTGTGGGGGTTCCCCTTCCTTAGACGTTCCCATTGCTGACACCACTTAGTTACTTGTTTTTTCAGCATTTTCTTTGCTCAGAATGGGGATTGTGGCTTTTCCTCAAAGAGCTTAAAACCAGTTTTAGTTCCTTCAAATGTTTCTTGTGAGACAAACTGCAGGGCCAGGCGGGAAATGCCCTGGCAGATGAGCCCCCTGTGAGGCCCATCCTTCCTTCCTACTCCTTCCACAGCATCTCCTGTCCTTTTTCTCTCTCCAAAGACTGATTGGAATTCCTCAGACCACGACATCTTTGAGTTTTCTGCTTTTCCCTCCAGCTCTGTTGCTCCTCTTCACCCTGTCAGGCCCAGCGTGGGTCTGTGCCTGCCCCTCCGTGTCACCCACCACGTGTGTTTATGCACCTGGTAGTTTAATGTCTTCTCCCTCCTGCCCTTGTTTTTTGATTTTCAAGGGGGATTTTGTCTGGAATTCTCTCATTTCACTGCTGCCCAGGTGAGCTGTGCAAGGTCTGGACAACAGAAAGCATACAGGTGAGGGAGCAGGAGGAGCAGGAAGAGAGTTTGCTGTTCATGTTGCTCATTCCAGCCAGGAGGGAGCTGTCAGCTCTGATTAAACAACAAAAAATGTAAATCCTCTCTTATTCATATTTTTTGGGGGTTTAGCTCCTCTTAGTTTTAGTCTTTCTTGGAAAGATTGAACTTAAGGCTCTCTGTTGGCCTGCCTTTGGTGTTTTCTTCCAGTAAGAGCAGCAGGAGGTCTCACTGATGAGATTTAAATATCTGGGTCACCTCACATTACCTGTGTTTGTTCCCTGCTCAGTTTTGATATTGGGAGAGGATGAAATAAAAGGGATGAGTGTGGAAAGATCAAAGTAAGGCTGGAGCTGCCCCAGGCACAGGTCATGTGCCAAATGGGGTTTGTGCATGAGCTTTTCCTGGCGATTTTAGGTTCTGGGTGAGGAGGTATCAGGAGTGTGCAAACAAGATTCCTTCTGTTTTCCACCCCCCATCGGGTAGTGGATCCAAAAGCCAAACTAGACAGAGCTTCCCTCTTTCTCAAAGATTCATCTTAAGCTTTGTGAGTCACTGGGTCAGGGATTTAAATAATTTCTTTAAACTTTTAAAGCCAGCAAACATCAGGGGCAGCTCCTGGTTTTCTGTAGCTGTAGAATTGGTTATCGAGTTTGCACGTCAAACTGGGCTCGTTCCTTTTACTCTACTAGATTTTCAAAGCTGGAGAGGGGGAATGGGGAATGGATATCTTGGAAAAGTGGTTGGAGCCAGCTGGGGTCTGCAGCCCCTCTGCAGAGCTGAAGCTGACCCAGGAACCTGTGGCTGAAGTGTGTCTTCATCTCAAACCACCTTCTTTTGTAAAAGCATTCCACTTTTTCCCCCTAGAGATGTCTGGGTTTTAGTCTTGTTTTTTTTTTTCCTGCTTAACAAGTTGTTGTCTGGGAATGTGGCACCTCTGTGGATTTAGTTGTTATCACCAACTTTTGAGATCTGTGCAGTGGAGAAGCAGGTTGGGCAGCCAGAGCCCCAGTGCCTGTGCTCTCCAGATAAGAAAGCGAAGGAAAATCAGAAGTCTGGGATAAGAAATGCTTTCTGAGCCTGTGTCTTATCCAGAGATACCACATTTCTCTGCACTTCAAAGTGCTGTTAAAATCCCACTGGGTTTAGACCTGGCCCCCAGAAATTCATAAACACAACGGGACGTTTGGACTGAGGCTTCGCCTCTTAAAACTTGGCAGTTTTTTTGCCCTCGCTCCTTGCATTGAAGAGTTGTTACAAATTTCCCTCTGAGAAATTGCCTTCTAATCTCTATCCTAAAATTAACCACAGTGGTTTCTCCTCCATGCCAGCTGTGTCCTTCACCAGCAGCAGAGATCTTCCTCCTTCTCGTTGTTTTGCCTGCTTTTTCTAGAGCTGACCTAATTACTGGATTCCTCTGCTGTTGCTTCCCTAACCAAGGTCGTTTTGCTTCCCTGATCGCTGCAGTTCCATCCAGGAGTGGTAAATTCAAACTGGGAATGCTGCAGTGGGGAAAAGACCTGCAGAGATGATGCTTTGCCCCTGTTTTGCACGAGAGTCTTGTTTTGCACAGCTGTCTTTCTGGAATGGCTTTGCCTGATAAGTCGTAGAATCATGGGATGGTTTGGGTTGGGAGGGACCTTAAAATGACCAAGCTTCATCTGGACAGTGGAAGGGACACCTTCCACTGGCCCAGGTTGCTCCAAGCCCCATCCAGCCTGGCCTTGGACACTTCCAGAGATGAGGCAGCCACAGCTTCTCTGGGCAACCTGTGCCAGGGCCTCCCCACCCTCACAGGATCCCGGGATCTCCTTTATGTCTCCTCAGGGTTGTGTCCTGCTGGGCTTTATGCCCCAAATCACTTGTTCCCTGTCCCCTCTCTCTCTCTCTCCTGACTCCAGGATGTGGTGCCAGAGGCTGGCGTGGCTGCTCCGGGGGAGCTCCGGGCGTCGGTGGCCGAGGAGCGTGGCGGCGTTGGCGCGCGGGCACCACACGGCCCCGCGGTCCCTGCGCTGTGCCTGGCAGCTGCACGGCGACCACCTCGGTAGGTGTGCCTGCTCCTGCTGCTGAGCCCGCCTGGGCAGAGCAGGGAGAGTTTCCAGACCCCGTTCCCTGCCAGTGATGCTTTTTTTTTTTTTTACCCTTCTGAAATCACCAGCACGCTGGTTCCCTCTGGGAATTCCCAGAGGCGGGACGGAGCAGGCTCGTCTGCTGGCGGCAAGTCTTTTATGATAAGCGAGGCAGTGCTAAATCAGAAGTCAAATCCAGGGATTCCAGCTCAAAAAGTGCATCTGAGCCCTGCCCTGTCAGGCAGCGTGTTCTGTGCTGTGCTCAGGCTCTCCTGGCGGGGAGGATCTGGCGTGTTCCCGCTTCTTCTGCCCCCACTGGTGCACGTTCTCCTGGGTGATGGCTCCTGAGGCCAGTTAGATCTTGGTGCTCTGAGTCACTTGGAAGCAAAGGAAGTTGCTCAGCACTTTACAGTGGCCCCCAGAAAGGATATTGTAGTTTTCTCACTGCAAAGTGACCTCAGATACCTGAATTTCAAAGCTGGGTGGGACTAGAGCGGGAAGGGCTCTCCTGTTGCCTGTGCTGGCCCTTCTAAAGGGCTTTGAGTATTCCCAAACTGTCCCAAGATGGAACAGTGAGAGGTTTAATGATTTTTTTGGTTGACTCCTCTCTGCACTCCTATGCTGGGGCTCTACAACTCTGTGGATGTGCAGCTCTGAATTTACCACTTGTTGAAGAGATGATGGAGGGAGGTCTGGGCACAGGGCGAGCGTCAGCCGTGCTCCTTCCCGCTGCAGGAGGGGATGTTGCAGTTTAATGGCTTCCCACTGACAGAGGGCAGGGTTAGATGGGATATTGGGAAGACATTCTTCCCTGTGAGGGTGGGGAGGCCCTGGCACAGGTTGCCCAGAGCAGCTGTGGCTGCCCCAGCCCTTGAAGTGTCCAAGGTCGGGTTGGAGCGACCTGGGCTAGTGGAAGGTGTCCCTGCCCGTGGCAGGGGGTGTAACTGGATAAACCACAAGGTCCCTTCCAACCCAGACCATTCTGGGATGGTTCTTTGAGATGTCCTGTAGACTTGATGAGAAGGGAAGCTGGTGGGATCCCTGACAGCCAGGCCTTTGCTGAGATGTCCTGCCTGGTCTTCCTCATGTGACAATTTACATCAAGAGGCGCCTCTGCGTCCCCTGTAAGCGGCACCACAACGCGTGGGCTCTGGGCTGGCATTCTGGGCTCTGGTTTTTCCTCCCTGTTGCCCCAAAGCATCCTCTGCTCCCACCCTTTGCAGAGCTCACGTATGGGAACACCCTGATGCGCTTGGATTTCGTGTGGCTGCGGGATCACTGCCGCTCCGCCTCCTGCTACAACGCCAAGACCAACCAGCGCAGCCTGGACACGGCCAGCGTGGACCTGGCCATCAGACCCCAGGCCGTGCGGGTGGACGAGAGCACGCTCTTCCTCACCTGTGAGTGCCACAGCACCCGTGCCCTTTCTGGTTTGGTTGATGGGTCCCGCTCGGCTTTGCCGGGACAGGGCGGCGTTATCCCAAAATCGGGGGCTGGCTGGGAAGGTATTGAGCTGTGAGCAGGCTTTAAATGCTGCTCTTACTGTAAACACACCTCAGCCTTAAATTGCGTCTGGTTTTCCTCCCCCAGCCCTTTTTTTTATGTAGAAATATGTGTGTGCAGTGTGGGGGTGTTTGCTTGGTTTGGTTGAGCACCCCAGAAGTGCAGGTGGTGAGCAGATGGGTCAAGACACGGTAGTGTTCAAGATGGTGTCATCCCTGGTCACAATGCCCATTTTCTGCCCTTATTCCTCAGTTTCCCTCCTGTTTTCTTCCTTTTGGTGGAGCTTGCCTTTATTCAAGGTCTTGACTTCAGAGATTTGCTTCTCCTTGGAATCCTGTCAACCAAAACCACGGAGGCTGCACCACTTAGCCCTGAATTTGGAATTGCTGCAGCCCTGAATTTGGAATTGCTGCAGCCCTGAATTTGGAATTGCTGCAGCCCTGAATTTGGAATTGCTGCAGCCCTAAATTTGGAAGTGGTTACAGCAGCCCTGAATTTGGAAGTGGTTACAGCAGCCCTGAATTTGGAAGTGGTTACAGCAGCCCTGAATTTGGAAGTGGTTACAGCAGCCCTGAAGTTTTGGAGGGAGTTGCAGCCACTCTGAATTTGCAGTTGTTGCTGCAGCCCTGAACTGGGAGGGAGTTGTTGCAGCAACAATTTTTTCAGGACTCGTGGCCTTATTAATAATGTTTTGGGTGGCAGCAGGGTGCAGAGAGCCCATGTCCAGACAGGTGAGAGGGGTGAGGCCTGTCCTGACTGATGCCATGACCACAATCCCGGGCTGCTCAGTGGTGACTGTGCCCTTTGTCCCGTGTCCCAGGGCCGGACGGACACGTGACACGGTATGGGCTGGAGTGGCTGGTGAAGAACAGCTACGAGGGGCAGAAGAAGCAGGTGATGCACCCCCGGATCCTCTGGAATGCAGAGATCTACCGGCAAGCCCAGGTCCCCTCCGTTGACTGCCGGAGCTTCCTGGAGACGGACGAGGGCCTGAAGGAATTCCTGCAGAACTTCTTGCTGTACGGGATCGCTTTTGTGGAGAACGTCGCTCCCACCAAAGAGGACACGGAAATCTTGGCAGAAAGGATCAGCATCATCAGGTAACTGGGACTTGTCTTCTCCTTGTTTGGAAAGGTGCTGTGTCCTTATCCTGTGTATTGTGTGGCACGGCCTGGTTTGCAGGCAAAAGCTCTGGGTCTTCTACAGCTTCCAGCTGCCCCACTTGACCTGGGATGGGGGATCCCACGGTGGGATCTGCCCCCTTTTGTGACAGGGCTGGGAGTCCCTGGGCTATGGAGCTGCCCCGGGAGCACACGATGACTTTTGTGACAGTGGGACTGGGTAGAGAGTGGGGACTGAAGGAAGTGGCTGTCTGGGAAGAGCAGAGCTTTGCAAGGAGAGACATTTCCTGTTATGACTTGAGGGGTCAGGAGGGCAGCCTGGCCCTGGGAGCCAGGGACATCAAAAACCAGCCCTGGGAGTCAGGAACTTCAAAAACCGGTTATAGCTCTCACTAAAGAAAAACAGAGTGAGAAACGTGTCTGCTGCGTTTGTGTAAAGCACCACCAGCATGGCAGGCTGGGCAGGGAGTTTGGAGTTTTATCCAAGCTGCAGAAACAGTTTGACTTGCCTTGGAAAAGGAGGGATTTTTTTGTAATGAATGGTCACTCCAAATAGGAATGAGGGGCTCCAGGGAATATCCAACCAGCTTCTGTCTCCAGACGTCCTCCCTCTGTAGCCCCTGAGTGCTGTTTGTCCCTACTGCTGTCCCTTCCCTCCTGTGTATGTTTGTAGGGATGAGGTGGGTGAAAACACAGGATCCTGGGAAGAAGAAATGGGATTATTGGGTACAAGGAAGGGCTAACTGCACTTGGGCAGCTCCTTGTGTCACTGAAGTGATTTGACTGGGGATGATGCTCAGTGTGAAAACATCTGTATTTATGGAGAGGAAGCAAGACTTGTCACCACCAGCCTTTTGGGAGGAAAGAGAGGAATTTGAATGCTTGAAGAGGGATTAGAAGCACTGTCTCTTGACTGTAAATTTTGTCAAGTTGTTTTACTTTGATTATTCTGTCCTTAGGATGCAGGGGAGTAACTTTGCATGCAAGAGGGGATCAGCCCTATCCCCACGTTGCTCCATAACTCTTTTCCAGGGAGACCATTTATGGCAGGATGTGGTACTTCACCTCTGACTTCTCCCGGGGAGACACAGCCTACACCAAACTGGCCCTGGACCGGCACACGGACACCACCTACTTCCAGGAGCCCTGTGGGTACGTTGTGCTGCTGCTGCTGCTTCCCAGACACAGGCAGAAGGCAGGAGTGAGGCCACAACAATGCCTTTCCCACCAGCACAGGCTTCCTTGTCTCCAGTGCTGCTGCTGGGATGTCCTGCTGGTCACACAGCAATTCTGGGGCCTGTCCGATCATAGGATCCCAGAATGCCTTGGGTTTGGGGGGACCTTAATCCAGTCCCACCCTGTGCCGTGGGCAGGGACACCTTCCACCAGCCCAGGTTGCTCCAGGCCCCTTCCAACCTGGCCTTGGACACTTCCAGGGATGGGGCAGCCACAGCTTCTCTGGGCAACCTGTGCCAGGGCCTCCCCACCCTCACAGGGAAGGATTTGTTCCAAATATCCAATCTAACCCTTCCCTCCTTCAGCCTAAGGCCGCTGCTCCTGTCCTGTCACTGCACACCCTGGTGTGATCCCTGTGGAGTGGGGTGGTCAGTGGATCACTCTTCCTGTGCTTGGAACTTGCAGATCTTCCCAAATGCAGGCAGGGGAGGACTTGGCTGTTGGAGAGCTGGGTGTTACTGCAGTTCAGGTAGCTTTGTAGCCACACAGAGGGCTCAGGGCTGTAGTAATTTCTGTGCTACCCTGAAGCTCCTCTAACAGTCCTTTCTGAACTCCCCCTTCTCAGTCTCCAAGTGTCACACTGTTTCCAGCCTCACAGAAATCATCCATGGGTTTTATTTGGGCAGTCTGGGAAAGCCCAGCTGCTCCTGCACCCCGTGCCCCGTGGCAGCTGCTGGGCAGAGCTGCTGCAGGAGTTTGCTTTGACCTAATCCTGCCTCTCTGCTGGCTGAGGTCTGTTATCTGTGTCCTCCAGGAAAGGAGGGAGAGCAGCTCCCTTGGCACAGCCTGTGGTGTCTGTGCTCCTGCAATCCCTGTGCCTCAGTCCAGCCAGGCTGGGCTTTGTGTTTTGGCAGTGCTGCAGCCCTGCAGGTACTCAGGAACCAGGCTTTCCCAGTCCTTCCCAGTTCACACCCGTGTGGGCTTTGGAAAGTAGTTGGTAGCTGCATCATTCTTTCCCATATGTGCCCTCCCAAACTGCTCTTCTCATCCAGCCTCTGGGCTGGGAGTTTTATCCACAGCTAGAGAAGGGAAGGCAGCAACCCTCGTTGTGGTTCACAGGGAAGTGCAGGAGACTGCCCAGAGAAGCTGTGGCTGCCCCATCCCTGGAAGTGTCCAAGGCCAGGTTGGACAGGGCTTGGAGCAACCTGGGCTAGTGGAAGGTGTCCCTGCACATGGAGCAGGGTGGAATGAGGTGAGTTTTAAGTTCCCTTCCAACCCAAACCACTCTGGGATTCCAGGATTCTATGACTTAGACTGACTTTCTAGCTTTTTTCTTTTTGTCTGCTTTCCCAAGAGGGGAATCATCTGGAAATGGCCTGTGGGAGAACAGGTGGAAGCACTGTGATCCCAAAGGGATCTAGGGACACAAAGAGAAGCCATCCAGCCACAGGGCAGGATTAGCCCTTCCCAAGTGAGGCTGTGAATTTGGTAAACATCCTAATGGGAAAAGAGCTGTAAGAACAGAGGAAGATGGAAGGTGTGAGATCTTTGGCTGCACCTGAGTTTTGGAGCAGCCCTTCAGAGCAGGAAAGGTGGATTGACCTGGATGTACCTGGCTGTGCCCAGCCAGGCAGGAAGCTTTGGGTGGTAGTGTTTGTTCTGGAGCAACTCAGTGTCAGGAGCAAAGTAAGTGGCTTTTACTGGGCCTTGAGGATCTGGAAGTGCCCCACATTTCCAGCCAGATCTAGTTTGCTTCCCTATTCCCCGGGAACCTGCAGGACCCATGTGCTTTTGGGACCTACCTGCTTGGCTGACTTGTTTTGGAAGCTCACAAAATCTTCCCCAAAGCCAAATAAAAGAAGTAATTAGTGATCAGAACTTCAGCCTTCAGAAGAGCTTTGACTGAAGTGCTCAGTACCAGAATCCAGAGCTATTTTTACACCTTTCTTTTCCACTTGGAAGAGTTCCCCTCAGGTAGGGTCTTCTCACCTGCAGCCAACTGGAGTACATCAATCACTGAATGAGCAGGGCTGACCATTAATGCTTGGGATTCTGCAAAATCATAGTTGTGTAGGAAAACCAGGAATTTCTGGCTTTCCTAACCTCTTCTAAAGGGAAAATCCCCAGGCTGTGGGAGGCTGCAGCATTTCTCACTGCTCAGGGACCTGAGCCTGCCCTGGAGGCTTTCCCAGTGCCCTGGGCTGCCCCAGGAGCTGGTTGCCCCCAGGCACGGGGTGTCCTTTGCTCCAGTGCTCCTGGACTCACTCTAAAATCATCCTGAAGCTGTTGTGGGTGGAAGGTGGTGAGAGCACTCAGGTGAAAAGGTGAGGGTGGGGTGGCAGGTCCTGCCACATCACCTGCTGTGGGACTGGGATAACAGGCCCCCAAGGGAGATTGGAAGATAAAAGCTTTTCCAGAAGGTCCCCATTAATTTCCCAGCAAGTGAAAACTGGGAGTAGGTGGCTGGAGGCAACTCCTGTGTGTTTTTTCCTGGCAGTGCAATGCCTACCTTGCTTGGATGAAGGAGAAGAGAAGCTTCAGAGCAGTAATAGGACAAAAGCTGAGCTGGATGGCTTCCCACTAGGGAGGGGATGTCCTGTAGGTCAGCTCCTCACTGGGACTCCTCTGCTCCAGGCTTTCCAAAGAGAACCCCAGAGGCTTCACCTCACCAGCACATCCAGCATTTTTTTAACTGTCCCGTTCTGAGCTGTTCCAGGAAGCTGGTTTTATGCTTTTGAACCTCTGTGTCCTGCTGCATGGATGGACTTAGAACACAATCCTGGAATCCCAGAGTGGTTTGGGTTGGAAGGGAACTTAAAACTCACCTCATTCCACCCTGCTCCATGTGCAGGGACACCTTCCACTAGCCCAGGTTGCTCCAAGCCCTGTCCAACCTGGCCTTGGACACTTCCAGGGATGGAGCAGCCCAACAGCCTCCTTTGAGTGAGGTTTGGGACTTTGGGTGCCACAAACTTGATCCTAAAGTCTCCCAGGCTCACATCAGTGGCTTTGGGAAGCAGCAAAACGTGTGGGATCGGAGGCCCGGCGAAGCGGCCGGGGGGCAGGTGGAGCAGCCCTCTGTGCCCTCAGGACGGGCAGCCGAGGTCACTGCTCTGGGGTGGTGTCTCCCATACCAGCATCCAGGTGTTCCACTGCCTGAAGCACGAGGGCACGGGCGGGCGGACGCTGCTGGTGGACGGTTTCCACGCGGCGGAGCAGGTGCTGCGCCGGGCCCCGGAGCACTTCGAGCTGCTCAGCAGAGTGCCCCTGAAACACGAGTACGTGGAGAACGTGGGGGGCTGCCACAACCACATGATCGGGGTGGGGCCCGTGCTCAACGTGTACCCCTGGAACAACGAGCTCTACCTGATCAGGTAACGTCCAGCGTGAGGCCTCTTGCTCGTGGGGAGGACACGGGGTGGTTTTCCAGAAGAGGCTGTGAACTAAAAAACCAGCGTGGTTTTGAGGGGCGTGGTTTTGAGTGTCCCTCCCGCTTCAGAGGAAGCGTCAGAACCGCCCATACAAACGTGGGGGTCGGTGCTGAGCTTTCATTTTTCACTCCTGGCATCCTCCCTGCAGCTCCATGCCCTCCCTTTGAGCGGCAGAAGAATTCAGCCCTTGTCTGGAGAAGCCCCTAGGAGCTCTCCTGGCATGCAGGGAACAGGGAGAGCGCAGACTGATCCCTTCTAGAGGAAATTTGGGCTGATTTTTTTTTTTGGAACTCCAGTTTGGCTCAGTGCTGGAGGTTGTCCAGCACTGCTTTGCACTTTTAGTCTGAACAACCCTCAGGAAAGGGTTCAGACTAAAAAAACCAGGAATAAGAGGTTTACCTTGACAGGAAACTCCTCTTACTCCTGGTGTTGCGTATTCCCGATAGTCCTGCTCTTGCAGCGTGACCTCCCTGGTCATGTCTGCATCCTCCCTTAAATACTGGCTAACCCTGCAGGCTCCTGAGGTTCCCTTGGAAGCAGCTGGAGTGATGCTGGGCCCTCCCTTGTCTCTTTTTTCCCCCCGTAGGTACAACAACTACGACCGTGCCGTCATCAACACGGTGCCGCACGACGTGGTGCGCCGCTGGTACCACGCCCACCGCGCGCTCACCACCGAGCTCAGGCGGCCAGAGAACGAGCTGTGGGTCAAGCTGAAGCCAGGCAAGGTGGGACTTGGAGCTGGATAATGCGGGTTTGGTCCAGGGAAGGGAGCAGGGTGCTCCACGGGTGTCCTGCCGCTGAGCTAAGAGCTCCACGTGTGGCAGCTTTCCTCCCTCCAGCTGCTCTGAGGTGCCTTGTGTTATAGTAGTGGCCTCTGTGTGTTCCTGCTGTCCTAAAGGAATGTGAGCTTCCAGGTAAGGCAGAAATGTTTAGGTCAAGCTCTGCCTCAGGAAAGTTAGTCTCAGCTGGGAGAGAGAAGTAAGATCTTTCCAGTCACTGAAATGAGGACCCTCGGGAGCAAAGGGGATGAAACACGTAGAGTTCAGCCTTTAACTTCTTCCAGAAGATAAGTTTATTTTGATGGAACTAAATTACAGTTCTGAGGTTATATTTGACCCCTTACATGGGTGAGATCGCAGAGGCAGGAGATTGTGGCTGCCCTATCCCTGGAAGTGTCCAAGGCCAGGTTGGAAGGGGCCTGGAGCAACCTGGGCTGGTGGAAGGTGTCCCTGCCCATGGCAGAAGAATGGAATGGGATGACCTTTAAGGTACCTTCCAACCCAATCCATTCTTGGATTCTGAGATGGCCACTGGCTGTTGCTGGTGAACTACTGCCCAACCTCTGCAGTGGAGAAGCAGAGAAACAGCCCAGAATTCTTCTGTTTTAGTACCTGTCATCTTCTAGGCACAGCTCCTGGCTCCAGGTGAAAGAGCTCTGCTGGATCCCATGGCTGCAGCCTCACAGTGTCGAACAGGAGGGTCATGCCTACCATGGCACTCCCTTACCTGCTCTTCCAGTCTCCAGGGATCTCCAGGACCTCTCCTGCCGTGGTTGCTGTCCTGCTGATGACCTTTTCCCTGTCCTGCAGGCCCTGTTTGTGGATAACTGGCGTGTCCTGCACGGCCGGGAGGCGTTCACGGGGTACCGGCAGCTCTGCGGCTGTTACCTGACCAGGGACGACGTGCTCAACACGGCCCGGCTGCTGGGGCTGCAGGCTTAGCCCAGGCCCCGGGAGGGGCAGGCAGCCCCCAGTCCCACCTCTGGGGGGGGGCAGGCAGCCCCTAAATCCCTCCTCCAGGAGGGACAGGCATCCCCCCAGTCCCACTTGCGCAAAGGGCTCCCCAGTCCCACCTCCAGGAGGAACAGGCAGCCCCCCAATCCTACTCATGGGAGGGGCAGGCAGCCCCCCAATCCCACTTGTGAGAAGGGCTCCCCAGTCCCACCTCCAGGAGGGGCAGGCAGCCTCCTAATCCCTCCTCTGGGAGAGGCAGGCAGCCCCCCAGTCCTACTCATGGGAAGGGCAGGCAGCCCCAATCCCACCCCCGTGGTGGGACAGGAATGCTGGTGCCCCTCCCCGTGCTCCAAGCCCGCTGTGCTGGTGCCTCCCCATGACACAGACACTGCACATACCTCAGACATCTCCACCCTCTCCAGGCAGCTCCCAGTGCCTGCTCAGGAGAGGGAGCAGGTGGAAGCCAAAGGTTTTGGGATCTTTATGGGACTGCCTTTGAGCACAGTCAGCTCTTGCTGTCCGTGCTCCCAGCCTGGCCTTTCCAATGTGCCTCAGCTCTGGTTAAACCCCACCTTAGGAAATGCTCCTCCAAGCAAGTGCCTTCAGGATTTAGAAGCTTTGCATTATTCCCTGTTCAGCCTTTTTTTTTCAGCTACCAATTTTAGGAATTTTTTTAGCAGAGCAGAGTGGAAATCTTCAGGATCTTCTCCTTGTCATCCAAGCCGTGCTGCCTGGAGAGATCCTGGGCATTTCTGAGGAGATTTAGGTTAGAGCAGGAAAAGGGAAGCAGCAAGATCTGCATGTTGGGAAGCAGAGATGACCAAGTTAGATGAGGGGTGGAATTCCCACTTTTCCTTGACTTCCAGTACTGCCGTGCTGGTGTTCCCTCTGCCTGTTTGCATTGAGGGTGACACTCAGCAGCCACAGTATTTGCTGACAAACTTCCCACTGTGCCTTCTCTCCCGTCCTTTCCTAAGGAATTTGTGTGAGGTTGTCATCACGCTGCCTGCTGCACAAACCTGACCTTTTGGGAATGTTTTTTTTTTTTCCCCCAAATTTTCCCGTTCTGACGGTATCAGAAGTGCCTTTCAGCTCCCAGGAGATGGGAGGGTAAATTGGGATCTGGCACACTGAAAGGCCACGGGGTAAGGAACAAAAGCAAATCCTTTTGTTACAAGAACATTGGGATTTCAGAACCAAGAGGGCATTTTAGGATTTGATTATTTTTCATCCTCTTTGGGCTGTTCCCTCTGCCCTGACCAGACCTCAGAGCAGGGCTGAGCCCTTCTTGGCTGTGCTCTGTGAGCTGCTCTGTGCCCATAGTGCAGGCACTGAACTTGCTCCCTCATTTGATCCAAACACTGAATGGACAGATCCCACTATTTCTTCTTTATAGGTTCTCCTTAGGTGCCAGTTCCACCTGCACAACTGAGAGGGGAAGTTTCACAACTCTCCAATAATCCTGTTGAAGCAGCAAACCCCAGCAGGAGCATGTGGTGTCCCTCACCCATCCTAGTTCCACGTTCCTGAGCTGCTTCCACCCTGTGCTTCTGCTGTTGGAAGAGTTGGTGCCCAAAGCAGTCAGTTACTTGTAAAAAGGAGGGGACAAAGGGTTCTTGATCTGTATTTGGAACCCTCTTTAAATTCTTTAAGGGTTCCTGAGCTTTTTTCCTCCCTGTGCCCCTGGGATCTGAGGGAAACACTTGGGTACCGTGGGACCTTCCCTTGGAGAGATCAGCTTCTCCTTCCCCTGCTCAGAACTCCATGTTTATCAGCTGCAGGCTGGAAATCTGTTTTTACTCCATGGCACAAGGCAGACCCCACCAAAGGGTGCTGACCACACTGCTGTGACAGAGGTGCCTTTGTGACAAGGAATGTGGTGACTTGGGCTGGGCTCTGCAGACACCAACCCCTTATGAACCAGCCCCAAGCCAACCCCCTCCTCACCAGGACTCTGGAACCTATTCTGGGGGGAAAATTGTCCCCAGTGAATGCAGAAGAAACACATTTCCTCATATTTCAAATCCTTTACCCACCCCCACGATAAACAGGGAGGGGGGAGAGCTGTGTTTCCATCTTGTTTCACCATTCCCCGCTTCCCAAGAGGGCTAAATTCTTCCTGGGCAGCTTGTGAGCATCCAAAAGCCCTGTGAAGGAGCAGGACCTGGTGGCAGGTGCCACCTGTCCCATCCAGGTGTTTGCTGGGCCGTGTCCCGGAGCGGGGCTGCCGTGACAGCGGGTCAGGGTTTGTGATCCAGCTTTTCCCGTTCCTTCAGCCAATCGCTGAACTGCTTTCTCCTCCTTCCCAGCACTCTGGGGATCCAATGGATGTGTTTAAGACTTTTCCCAAACTAAGAAATCGACTCTTCAAATAAATCATTTATAAAGTCACCAGCTTAACAAAAGATGTATTTTAAGCACTGATGAGCTCGAAGATAAGTCTGGTTTACGCAGCCGAGGGGGGAATGCACATGAGGAGCCATAGCCCAGTGCGTCCCAGTTGGCTTCTCCTCGTTTCTGCTTTCCCTGGCCACACGATGGCACAAGCTGCCAGAAATTGGTGTTTAAAAAAACCCACGAGTCCCATCCCAGTGCGGTCTCGGAGTTCCCGGTGGTGCCGGCGCTGTTTGTTCTGCTCTGCTCTCTCCATTCCTTTGGAGAAGCCCCGGAATTGCTGTTCAAAGCCTCTGTGGCTGGGAACGTTTTTAAGGAGCCGTGGGGTGCCGTGTCCATCGTGGCAAAGGGTGGAGCAGGGAGCGGGAATGATGTGAGGGAATTGGAGAGCTCGGTTTGGGGGATCCGAAGGTGCCTGGAGGAAAGTGGAGCTGGTTTGAAGGCAGCTGAGCCCGGCCCAGCCTGGTGGGACCCGGTGTTGGTGTGTACCCCGGGATCCTCCGTTCCCATCAGCACATCCCAGGGCCCCCACTTTGGTCCCTTTTGCCACTGGGGCTGTCCCTCCCTCACCTTGTGCACCCTGAGCAATCCCCCCACCCCACACACCCCTTCGCTTGCCTCCACTCACCCTCTCTCCTCTCCAGGCTGCTCCGTTTGCCCTCCGGTGCCCCCCACATCCCTGTTTGCTCCCTTGTCCCCCCAAGACCCCAATTCCTCCCTTGAGACCCCTTGGCTGTGCAATGCACCCCTTCCTTCAGCTTTTGGGGCTTCCCAGAGTCCTCAGCCCTACGCCCTACAGTGAAACCAAACCACCCCATTTTCCCTCCAGTGTGTCCCAGAGCTTTCTGCCTTCCCACAGTGCACTCCCACACCCCCTTCTCACTCCCAGCTCTCAAAATTCCTCCGGTGCAGCTTTTGGTGCAACCCCTTGACCTTCCTCTGGTGCCACCAGGAGCCTTTGGCTCCTCACAGGACTCGGGTGAAACAGAAGTTGCTTCTACCCCAGCTGAAAATTGTTTCCTTTTTTAGCTTCACTCCTCATTTGGGGCTTGGAGCAGCCTGGTAGTGGAAGATGTCCCTGCCCACGGCAGGAGGTGGAACAGGATGGGCTTTAAGGTCCCTCCCAACCCAAACCATTCTGAGATTCCATGGAGGTAACAAATTGAGGAACGGTGGGGGAAAGGTAAGGAGGCAGGTGGTGAAAGAAAAGGTCAGGAAGCGGGAAAAGGAATGGGAAGGTGAGTGTTGGGCACATGGTGGGAGGTGCTTTGGGAGGTGGGAGTTGGGGGCTGGGTTCCCTCCCTGCCTGGTGGCCGGGGCTGATGGAGCCAACGGGTGCCACCGTGTTGGTGCTCTCCAACCATCCACATCCACCCCCTTTCTCCTAATGCTTCCCCCAGGGCTCTCCTATCCCAGCATCTGGCTTTGGAGCTCCATGGGAGTCCAAGGGGTCTGGCTGTGCTCAGCAGGGCAGGAAAGCTTTCCCAGCACTCGGGGGCAGAGCCCAAACCTTCCCCAGCCCCTCATCCCTCTGCACCCTCAGTCTGGAGATGACACTTGGTCCCCAGGCCCTGATCCCAGGAGCGTCTCTTCCCTAAACTGAAATTCCCTTTGCAGGAAACCGGTGGGACATGGATGATCCCAGCCCACCTCCAAAAGCTGGAGGGAAAAGCTGCTCCCAGTGGGACGAGTGTTTTGGAGCCAGGCCGAGCCCCTGCCCCCCAAACCGGGGTGGGAGCGAGTTCAAACTGCACTGCGGGAGCTGAGCTCCAGGGATGGGGTGGGAGAGGAGCTGTGGGAAAGGAATAGGGATGGATCTTCTGCCCGCGGGGCACAGAAATGGTGTGGGATGTCTCCTGTAATTCCCATTCCTGTGGGACCCCCCTGCCCTGCCCCAGCTGGTCCCCGCGCGGTGCCGGAGCCGTCGCAGCTCTGCCTTCCCTTCCCATCCCCGGGAGCGCGGGGACAAGAGCGGGAGCTGTCACTGCTGCCAGGAAGGCTCCCGGGAAGAGGAGGCGGCACGGAGGGAGAGGAGCCATCGGCAGCAAAACAGGCTGGGAATACCCACGGCGTCGGGGATCCATCCTCATGGTGGCGAACCTGACGGTACAGCCTCACCTGGGCTCTCATCCCAGCGGGGGAATTTCAAGGGGATATTCGAAATCAGGGAAACTCGGGGCTGTTTTTCCTTGGCAGATGCTGCGGTGCCGTCCCGCGGAGCTGCTGGGCATCACCTGGGTGCTCCTCGCAGGTAAGGTGGCCCCGGGCTGGGCTGCGCTGGGAGCCGGTGCCGTCCCGTGGGCTCCGCGCCAGGTCCTCGCCTGCTCCAAACCCGCGGAGAGGCTTCGGCGGAGCTTTGGAACTTTTTAGGAGGGGTAAAAGGCTTAACCTGGAACGGAAAGGTGTGTGTGTGTGTGTGTGTGTCCAGGGAGGGAGGAGGTGGGAGAGCCAGGCACAGCTCCGGGAATAAAAGTCGGCTGCAGACAGATTTATACTGGGGCTGAGAGATGTAATAATGCAAAAATAAACACATATATATTAACATATATACGTATGTGTTAAAAATATATATGTAAAATCATGATATATGTAAAACCCCAGATTTTGTTGCAGTTATGTGAGCAATGCCACTGTGCTCTTTAGATACTCACTGGCTGCCTGGAAACACAAATCATAGAGTTATGGAATGGTTTGGGTTGGAAGGGTCCTTAAAACCCATCCCGTTCCACCCCCTGCCATGTGCAGGGACATCTTCCACTATCCCAGGTTGCTCCAAGCCCCGTCCAGCCTGGCCTTGAACACCTCCAGGGATGGGGCAGCCACAGCTTCTCTGGGCAACCTGTGCCAGTTCCAAATGTACAAAGATTTTTAGGATGAGCATCTGAGACAGAAAGGAAACCCATTACCCTATATTTCGATTTTGGAATGGTGTCAGTGAGCTCTGAGGGTCTGTAGGATGAGCTTTGGCCATTGCAGCTGTAAAAGATTCCTGGGATGAAGTGTTTTCTCTTTCCTACAGCTTGTGGTTCTGCATGTTTCGTATAAACAGTGTTTTCCCAGAGAAAAAGGGTTTTTAGTCATTAAATTGTTTTTTGTCCCTCCACAGCTACAGTTTGGGGGGCAGGAAGGCACAAAAATAGCTGGTTTCCAAGATCATAAGAATGAGAAATTAAAATCACCAGGTGAACTAGATTTACCTGGATTGTCCCATCTATTTTCTTTCCCACCTGTGCTGCAAAATCCCCCATGACAATCCCCAGTGGGAGCAGCAGGACTGTTTCCAGGGCTGTTTGCTGTCTCTGGAGGTGCAGTGGGAATGCAGGTGAACAGCTGCTTATCGAGGCAGGAGGTGAGACACCACGAAGAGCAAACACAGGCTGTGTAGCCTGTGAGAATCCCCCCTGTGAGAACTGCCCCTCACTGCCAGGCTCTGAGGCTCAGGAAGATGTTTTCATCCCATCTCATTTGCTGGGAAATGTGGCTGAGGGTGTTTGGGGTCGGGTGTCTGGAGATGGGCTGGGATCTCTTTCCTTCTTTTCCTCTTCCCCTTCTCTTTCCCTCCTTTAACCTCACCTTCTGATTTTTTTAAAGAATCCACTTTACAAGATCAGGCTGCAGTATTGATTTCTGCTCAGCTTTCCTAGAATCCTCATTTTTTGGAGGGGGAATGGGAGCTGTGACCTTCCCACAGCAGCTCCTCTTGAAGTCCTTGAGCACCTGTGAGAGCCCAAGTTGTGACAAGCACAGGAATTTTGGGGAAGTGGCTGCATCCCCCAGTGCTGGGAGTGTGTGGACATGTTCAACCCCAAACAAGACTGGAAATTCTGTGGCTGCCCCATCCACGGAAGTGTTCAAGGCCAGGCTGGAGGGGACTTGGAGCAGCCTGGTCTAGGGGAAAGTGTCCCTGCCTATGGCAGGAGGCGAAACGAGATGAGCTTTGAGGTCCCTTCCGACCCAAACTATTCCAGGATTCTATGAACTGGGAATAAGCCATGGAAATTAGGTCAGGATGACAAAACCTCAAGTAGGAGAATCCAGTTCCACCCCCCTGCCATGGGCAGGGACACCTTCTCCTAGACCAAGTTGCTCCCAGCCCCATCCCAGCCCCTCTCCCTCTCCCCAGTGCCACCACTGGTGCCGTTGCCTCAGGCTGTGGGAGCAGCAGGACCCCCCCAGGGAAGAGCTGCTGCTGCTGTGGGATCTTCTGTGCTGCTCCCTGGGCTGGATAACGTCACTCACAGCCGTTCCACACGGTGGGAATACTCCAATGGCACCAGCTCCCACACCATCCTGCAGCACGACGGGGGCTCTCACACCCCAGCCATCCACGCGCCCTACGTGGGACGAGTTGTTTTCCATCCGTCCGACGGATCCCTCACGCTGGAGGATGTCCAGGAAAGCGACAGTGGCATCTACAGGGTGACTGTCAGCGGGGAAGACAGAGAGAGCCTGGAAATCCTGCTGGAAGTCCTCAGTGAGTGGTGGGTGTGGGAGGGAGCAGCGGGGCAGTGGGTACAGGTAGAGCCATGGTGGAATTTGACTGTACACGGACCATCGGCCAGACCAGGGGGGTTGGAGAAGGGATTTTGAGCAAAGGCTGATGGGCCAGGCCTGAGCTTGTTTGAACCTGTCATGTATGGAGATTGCACCAAGGAGACCTTGGAAAGAGGCTCCCACCCTGTCCTAGGGGAGAAGATCTGGTGGTGCTGCCCAAGGAGACCTTCTAGGGGGCCCGGCTGAGACAGAGGGCTGGGCTCCATCCTGGGAAGGAATTCCCTCCTTTGTTTTCCACTCTTCAGTCCAGGGATAGAGGGACCAGTAGGAGGATGGAGGGACTGGTGGGATGATGGAGGGACATCAGAGGGAGTGGTGGGATGACAGAGGAACTGGTGGGATAACAGAGGGTAGGATAACAGTGGGAGGATGGGGGGAAGATGGAGTGACTGGTGGGATGACGGAGGGACTGGTGGGATGACAGAGGGACCAGTGAGGTGCTG